TATGTTGACAGTCGCTAAGTTTCCACATGCACAAGCATTGTGTGCCATGCTTCTGGATGAACAGTACTGTAAAGCCACGTGGTCAGCCTTTTAACTATTAGTATTTAATTTGTTGGTTTTTTTAAATATGCTGAAATGTAAGGATGAGTTACAGAGGAGTAAAGCTGAATCGATTCGAGGTACTTATCACAGGATGGAGGTGTTTTGTTTGGTTTTTAAAGCCATTGCAATATATGGTTTTTTTTGAGGCTGTGAACGTATACAGAAAGAACAGGAGAGCTATGTGGGCTTTTGCCACTTGACAACATATACTCAGTGTAAACCAAACCTTTTTTAACATCTCTCTCATACACAAAACAGAAAAAAAAAGGAAAAAATCAAGCACACAAACTTTCACAACATGACAGTTTAGTTTGCAAACTCAATATAACTATACACATATAATACCGGTGTGGCTCTGTTTCTTTAAGTTAAAAAGGATACAAAGGCAGGCTCAAGTAAAAACAAACCACCCCTCCCATCCCCCAATATCCCCATTGAAACATTTTCGTCAACCAAACCGCTCACGAACCAGCATCATCAGTTTCTTTTTGCCTTTGTAGATTTGTTTTAGGTTGTCAATAAACTGCGTGAACTGGATGTGACCATCATGAGCCATTAAGAAGGTCTCTCGGGCCTTGCTGAGGAACTCTATAAACTCACTATAGTGTCGCGGGCTGATGTGAGTGAGACGTGAATGCGTTGTATTAATGTAGGCTCCAATTGTGGCATCCAAGAGTTGCCGTAAAGGGGCTTTGTCCAGTGACATGAGCTTACCAGAGTTCCTCCTTCCATGAAGTCCCACCATGCCAGGAGTGGTCAAAGTACACCTACGCAAAATGTCTGACAATACTGTTGCACATTTGACACTTTTGACCACCAGAGGTATTATAGCTGCTAGCTCATTTTTCCCAAGGGAATGGCTGAGCGCACATGCCCACAGAACGTCATTAATGGCAGGGTGCGTGTCCTGATTGTAACTCAGGTTGAGATGTGTCATGGCCAAAGTGGCCAGCTTGTAGGCTCGCATGGGGTAACCACGGTGCTCCATGTATCGCGCTATAGTAAAAAGCTGCGAGTAGCTCATGCCGGTTGTAGCAGCATCTAGAACGATTTGGTAAGCAGTCTCAAAAGCTATGTGATCCTTTTCACACAAGGTCAGTGCAGAGAGGGCACAGTTTTGAGGATCCTTCATGGCACACTGTAGAGCAAGCGTCCTAGCACTGCCAGCCAACTTCTCCTGCTGATGACAGTCCAGATGCAGACGGACGATGGTGCTGTTGGACATCACTGTTGTAGCAACAATACTAGTGGCTTCTGTTGGAGTGAAAAGTGTAAACCAGTTTTGCATAATACTATCCAGTGCATAAACACCTGGGGAGAGAAAGAAAGGATTAGCCACAACTGATAAAACTGAGAAGTTACAGATGTTCAGTAAAAGATTATGTTTGCAGCAAAGTCTAAGAGGTTGCCAGTACATCCAAGGGGATGCACTTCACCAAGAAGGGCTAAACCAGACAGCATGGCTGGAAAACGACATTAAAACAATGCTACAGAGTTTGCACAGTAGCCTATCACCAAAATGCAAAGAATAACACAAAAAGCCTGCAAGTTAAACTTTAATCTCCTAGTGTGAAAACCGAGCTGTTATTTAAGACACTTTGGATAACCTTTTGCTCATTTGGTCTCATCACATCACTCAAAAACAGCCCTCACACTTTTAAAAGGCCACTTTAAATTCTTTCCTCACTGTGCACCTCAAGGCACAGTGCATACACAAAAGAATATGAAATTATGTTAAATGGTTTACTTAATAGAACACCATGCCACACCTTAAGAGAACACACTGAGCACACCTTTAAAAACCAAATATAACAAAACAAAAGCCTAGCTCCAACCTCCTTTCAACAGGGTTTTCAGATACATCTTGTATCAAATTCGTATGTGCCTGAACAACATCATCCTTATTATGGAAATACTGAGCAATATGAACTACTGGATATTACTTGAAATCGGTATTTTCCTTAGTATCTTTTTATTCCTGGTGTGTGCATGTTTGTGTATGTGTTTGGCAGGGGGAGAAAGGGGGAAACAGTGACTAATGGGTTCCATAAATTGAAGCTTATTGCCAACTAGAGTGCCTTATTATTGTCAGAGGCAGTTTACACACATCTATGAGCCCACCTAAACCACACCCAGAGGTCCTAATTTTCTCTGTAGGACTCTGATGCTTCCCCTGAACCCCTTTCACTCACGTGCAACAATTCAGTACAGCCAGGGAATACCACATCTTCATTAAATGAACAGATTCCTTGCTTTACCAACTTGATTAAGTCTCAAGAGTACTTAGCAGTACATTATAGGTTCTTTATGGGATACTTCTATTAGACTATGTAAACTAATTTAAAGAAGTATTAAAACCAGCACTTCATTTTCCAATATGAAACTGCACAAAATAATACGCAGGCACTAATATCTGTAAGATAGCCTCAGTAATAATTATCTTTTCCAAGATATAAAAGCAAAAAAACAAGAGCACTGCACAAAAATTTGCAAGCATGAACCACCTTCTGGCTGACGGCATACAAAGGCAAGCTGTATTTTCCCATGCTACTGACAACATTAATTTCCCAGCTAAGCATAAAGCAAAGAATAAACTAATCCAGAGAATAAGCAGCAACAATCCTCTAAAGTTCTGAAAATCAGAAAGCATCTATGTGATACAATCCAACGGAGATGTATGAAAAAAAGTAATAAATACAGTAGGAAAACACACTTTCCAGAAATACCTTCAGTGACAAAACTGCTCCCTTACTTACATCGTCTTCACTACTGCAGCTGCTGCTTTTTTTTTTTCTACAGCTACACAGTTCGTAATACACTCTTCCTCAATTTCAGATTCTACATCCTAATCTTGTAGATGGTAAAGTGGAATACAGACAGTAAGGGATGGCTCATCAAGACACAGGAAATCTATGGCAAAGCTCCAAAATGAGCAGAATGTCCTGCTGAGTGCACTATTCACCCATGGCTGTCCTCTAAGTATCAGATCGGTTCTGCTCCCACCTTATTTTCACCTTACGTCGCTAATGATGGGTACATTGGTATTTGCTTTGCTTTCCAGTGTAGACAAGAGCAGCCTGCACGTTGTAGTAGCCACATAACAAAGATGCTTCACACTTTAAGTCTGGATTTACCCAAGGGCTTAAAAAAACCTCCTAACAATTAGAACACCTTCATGAGATCCTGTCTCCTACACAGCAGGAGGCAACCTCTGCATTTCAATCACCTATTTTCTGGTTCCTCCTCCCACAGCTGACCAGACAGCTCTCTCACCTGGCCTTTCAGAGCAAGTAAAGTTGTAGCACAGTGGAACACTGCACAACCATGAGCCTTTTCTCTACTACAGCCTCAAACCCAAACCCAAACCCACCACAGAGGGAACAAGGTTATTATCTGGGTTATTTCCCATGAGGTTATGCATACCCCCACCTTGAGGGGGAAGAAGTCACACTGCACTACTCAACTAGTAATTGTCTCAGTTGGTCTGTGTCCAAAAAAAACCTCCTAATTGTCATAATGTCTTCTCACCACAGGAATTTTATAAGTGAACAAAAAGTGGAAGACAGTTGCAAAACCTGGGTGTCCACAAGCAAGATCAAGCCCTCTAAGATTAGCTGACAAGAAAAGCATCTCAGAACATACCTACTTCTGTAGCACATGTTACCAACCACCTCACCATTTCCCGCCGTCGCCAATTCAGAGTTGACAGTGTCATTCGCATCACCTATTTAAACAACACAAACAAAATATAAATTAATCCTATTACAAACTAAGGCAATATACCAACAGTTAGGGATTTTAAGTTACTCATATACACTGAGATTCAAAATGGCAGTCTCTTGCCCTCTCCACTCTGTTATACCTTTAGCTGGTATGTCAAAAGATTTGAAAAATAGTGCTCAGATTAGAGAGACTTTTATCCATGGGAAAACGAAAAAACCCAGAACACAACCAAACACAAAAAACACCCTGCCAAACAACAAAAAAAAGCCAAATTAATTACCAATTAGTCAAACAGATTTACATCAATACTCCTCCCTCTATGAGCAGTAGTCCTTAAAGTGGAAACATGTCAACTCTTGTTAGGCAAACTAACCCCTTTAAGTTTTCCTCCATCTTCATTTCTTTTCATTGACTTCAACAATACAGATAGGAGTTAGTGTACTGTTATTTGACTGCCTGCTTAGTCTGCAAAGATATATATGTATATATACACACAATTCCAGATATATCCAGGTATTATTAAGAAGTCCACAGCAATGATTTCTTGCTATGAACAAGGACAAGGAGTCCGAGCAAATAAGTTTAATCATAAAACCATCAGAATCCCAGAAAAAAGGACTTTTAAGTTTTGATTGTAGTGCCCGTATTTTAAATTACTTGGGGCTACTGCCTGTTGTTTCTCAAAAAATGGGCAAATAAGTTTATTCAGTAAATGATAACTATATAATAAAATAATACTATGTACCCAGAGGGTGGTAGTAAATGGTTCATTCTCTAACTGACAACCAGTCGCAAGTGGGGTCCCTCAGGGATCCAAATTGGGCCCAACACTATTTAATATCTTCACAACTGATCTGTATGTTGGGATCAGGAGCTCCCTGATGAAGTCTGTTGATGACACCAAAATGAGTGGGGTAGTTGACACTTCAGATGGGAGAGTCACCCTCTGGGAAGACCTGGACAGACTGGATGAGTGGGCTAGCAGGAACTGTATGAAGTTCAGCATGGAAAAATGTAAGGTCTTGCATGTGGGAACACATAATCCAAGAATGCAGCTGAGACTGGGTTCCACTCGGCCAGAGAGCAGCACTGTGGAAAGGGACCTGGAGGTCTTGGTGGATGACAAGCTCAACATGAGCGAACAGTGTGCTGCAGCTTCAAAGAAAGCCAACAGGATTCTGGGTCACATTAAAAAGAGCATCACTAGCAGAGATAAAGAAGTCATTATCCCTCTCTACTCAGCGCTGGTCAGTCCACACCTTGAGTACTGTGTTCAGTTTTTGGTCCCCACTATACAAAAAAGATGCAGACAGGTTGGAAGGGTCCAGAGAAGGGCCACGAGGATGATCAGAGGACTGGACAACCTGCCGTATGAACAAAGGCTGAAAAAATGGGACCTGTTCAGCCTTGGGAAGAGAAGGCTTAGGGAGACCTTATTATCATGTATGAGTACATAAAGGGTGGCTACAAAGAAGATAGAAGACTCCTTTTTCACAAGGAGTCACATGGAAAAGACGAAGGGTAATGGACACAAGTTGTTTCTGGAGAGATTCTGACTGAACTCCAGAAGAAATTTTTTTACCATGAGATCAATCAGACATTGGAACAATCTCCCAGGGGAAGTGGTAAATACTCCTACATTGGTCAGTTTTAAGAGTCAGTCTGACAGGGTGCTTACTCATCTCATTTAAACTATACTTTCACCTTGAAAGGTTGGACTAGATGATCCTTGTGGTCCTTTCCAACCTGGTATTGTTCTATGATTCTAAAGAAACATCGCATGGAAGTTGCGTGTAAAGCTTGCTTCAGCTACCTAGACAGACCTCACAGACACCTAGATGAAGAAAGCAAGTAGTTTTCCCCTTACAGTGTCAGTGGTACACTATTTGGAGGAACTAAATGAAGACCATAATAGGTCAATCATATCTTTACATATTAAATTCAACAAATGCACTCACAAACCAGCTTGGAGTCAGCAGCATTTGTAAGAGAGTTCTCAACCCATATCCCCTCCCAATCATAAAGTGCCTTCAAAGTGGTATGTAGCCTCCTGCCACCTCCTTCAATTGTGCGCTGTAGACAGGATAGTTAGGAAGACAGAAAAATTGCTAAAGAGCACAAATGCATGCATTATCTTTAAGACATCTGGCTATAAGCAATCATGAATGGTTCCAAGTTGGTCTTCAAACGTTCCTACCTTGAGAACCTCCTCTTCACTGATTGCATATCACCCAAAGTTACAGGATAAGGCCAGCTTTGTTGGCCTCCGACATTGTGGTATCATTTTAACTAAACAGTAATCCAAGTGCTAGATTGGAGAATAGAATTTTGAAAGAAAGCAAACTGTAACTCAACACATTTTACAGTATGAAAATACAGCTAGGGTAAATCATGGAACCAGACTTTGCTTCAAGTCTTTCTGGAAGAAAAACAGGTAGCCTCAAATCAAAATGCTTTGGAGTGCAATAATCTTTTCCACTCTGTCCACCAAAGGGAAGTCTAGGTGACTTCCTTTACTGATGCATGCACAAATTGAACACTCTTCCAATATCTGTGATGAATTTTCAGCTTCCTCCATTTCTCCTGATTCCAAGAGAAAATACAGGGTTATGAACTGAATTCTGCTACTGGTGAGGGAGGGAAGGAGGTAAAAAAAGCCCAAAACAGTGTGACTTATAACTTCTCTGAAAGGCTTCTCTGATGACTTCCCTCACTGTGGTGGTCTGTAAAACAATCAGCAGTTACAAGAGACTTCAGCTCATGTACTGGGCATAATAATAGTTCCAGTGTAGACAGTCTTAACTTGAGAGCAAAAACTAATGTAATACCTATTTTCTTGACATGAAAGTTTCTTGACAAACTGGAATTCTGGTTCCTTTTGGAACTAATTAATCCTTTCTGAATTACATTCGTTTCATTTGATCAAGCTGAGAACAGGAATAGAGGGGCCCTTTGCCGATGACAGAAAAGCAAGGATTTAAAATATAGCAGGTATTCATGTCCTGACCAAGGAAGAGCTGAAGTTAATTTATACAGCAGCACATGTAGCCAAAGAACTATTTCACTTCTGCTCAATACATTCTTGAGCTACCTCTTCCTAAAAATGAGTTCCACATCTGTCCAAGATCTATCCAAAATCTGTGATATCAATTCAAAAGAGCTTCTCAACAAGTCAGGAAGTCTGAAAATGACAAGAGGCATTACACAAGCCGGGAATTACACAGCTTATCTGAAAGCCAAGCTCTCTTCACACAGAATAACGTTGACTTTGTCTTGATGGATCTTTATAAGAACTTCTTAGTCTAGAGGAACAGAAGATCTCACAGTCCATAAAAGATACAAGAAATGGCCAAACAAACATTAGCTCCCACATCAAAATGAAACCTCTTAGTCAATGCATATTGGAAAGAAGTTTATTTATTTATTCATTCATTTACAAGTTTAGGACAAAAGGGACAGCACTTGCCAAATACACATGTGCACTAACTTGCTCAGCAGTTCTGCCAGCAGTACCTATTTGCATGGGTGTAGTAATACTTACTTGCACAGATGCAGCATACAACAGACAAACAGAGGAATAGAAGGCCCTCCTGTACCTGCAGATCTTACAGCATCTGTGCCAGTAAGGTTCTGAAGGACAGAATACACCTGAGATGCTCCATGCCCATTTGGCCGTGCTGATGACCTCTTGCCACAGCCAGTTTAAAAGCCTTCCCTCTGCTGAGACACATAACACATGCTGCCACTGAAAACAGGGAGAAAGAACCCAGGACTCCATACATTACTCCCAAATCTAGAACAATGTAAGAGGCTTTTTTGTCACAGAGATGCCAGTGAGAGTTATGAAACTGCCAGTATCATCTCCTCAGCCCAACCAGGCCAATTTGTCATTGCTGTAGCAGAGGCAGAACAGTATACCTGTGAGGACACTGCTGTTTAGTTTACCACATCAGGGGAGAGTGAGTTTTCTGGGGCATATAAATGTTATAATTAGTCAGATACTAGATAGTGAACACAATCTAATTGCCATTAACCTGGGGGCAGGGAAGGAGGGAGCATCTATTGGCCAGTAGAGACAGTACTGACACCAAGGTTTTTGCAGGAAAAGCATTATTATGGGAATCTACACAGTTGTGAATTGCTACCAGAAAACTGCTCTGCATCTTCCTTCTGAAAAGCAAACTACCTTTAAGATTCTTAAAACGCATTCAGAAGCTTGGGACAGAACAGTGACAAGTTCTATAGCAGTTTGTTCCAAAACCTGGGACTGAGGAGAAAGTATAGTATTTCTTTCACTAGATCTCACTGAAGACATTCTGATGACACCATCAACCACAAAGGGTATCCATGAATACAGTGATACCCAAAGTGTGCTACTACCATTGAATGATACTTGGTGAATGCTTGAGGTGACACACAGGTCAATCATAAGGATCTTTCTCTCTCTCTCTCTCTCTCAAGTAAACAAACATTTAAGGCAGAAACATGCAAAGATGTGAAAAAAAGCAGCAGAATTCCACAGCAACTTTGGGAATATGAAAGGCTAACACAGCATACATAATCTCATCTTTCTGATTAAAGACTATAGCTTCTAAACATCTAGAATAGGCAAATAGTACCTTTCTTTGGATAATATCCTTTCCCCAGAAGTCTTTGGAGCTTCATTTACGGAAGCATAGTAATAAGTTTTCTGATCTTTGCATGGTTTTTTTGAAGAACTCCCTGAAGAGGGATGAAGAGATTTACTTTTGTTGAAATTAACTGAATAAACTCCAAGATTCATCAGCATAAGGCAATATTACTCCAGATACGTAAAACTTAGCTGTCTCCTTCTAGCTTGCAAAGTCTCTTCTAAGAGCCTGAAAACTAATCTGAGGTTCTTGTACAACTCAAACTGAGTCTGATGCATCTGACCCTCCCACAGCTTGTGGAGTACAGGATTTTGATGGAGAGAGGGCTGCTGTTAGCACAGTCTGCATTAGAAACAGGTCATTATGGTTGACCTTGACTTTCTCTAGTAATTCAACAAGCACCCACCAAATCTCATTTAGTGGAAAGGAAGGGAAGGAATGGCAGGAAACCCCTCAAGGCCATGCAGAAAATACAGTGCATTTCGGGCAAGCAGAATAATTTTTGTTTCTATCCAGTCCTACATATACCCCTGAACCCATTGCACTGGTCCTCCCTCACCCTCAAGCAGAAGAGCGCTCTGCAGCCAGCTGCTCCCAGCTCTCTCTTCCACCTGAATGGCACAAAGGGGCTATGCTGACCCTTGGTCTGTGTTTACCAGTCCACTGAGCTTTGTTTCAGAAAACAGAATCTAAAAACACCAGATAGAGCCCAAAAAGGGTATAGCCCTCAGTGCTTAAAAGGTATGCCCACAAATACAAGGTCAAATTCCTTTCTTCTGCTGTAATAATAACGAACAAGGGAAATACCTGAAGGCCTAACTCCAGAGAAACTTTCAGAAGAGTGATGTCTGGCAAGTTGTCCATGAGTGTTGCTATTTTAAATGCATCCTGGGCAAGTTTGAAGATGTGTGATGAGGAGTGAATATTTTTCTGGATGGATTCTAACACTGTTTCCAGCCTCCGAACATCACCTGCAAGGTGTAAACAGGATCATCAAAATGGAACAAGCTCCCAAAACATCCAGAGACACAACATAATTGAGCCTGCTGTTGCTATGCAATAGTATGATGCTTCAGCTATACATATTTTGCTTTCAGAAGCCTTCTATAATTATTATTAAATCACATATAAAGCAAAGATGCAAGACAGCACAAACTCCGCTAGTGCCTGATGGTGTTAGTGCAGTACATGGCCAAAAGTCATTCTGATTTGTGAAATTTTTAAGTGATTTGTCCACTCCTGGGTCTCAGTCTACACTGTGTGTCAGAAAAACAAAAAGCTGTCTCATCAGCCTCAAATGAAGCTCATATGGCTACCATCTAATTGGTTTAATTTCTTTCCTAGAAAATTGACAGGTTTAAGCCAGTTCAGTTTTTTGTAACCACTTCAAGCTCCTGTCAGACAGCAACTTGGATTCCTAAACACAAGTTTTATAATCTGTTTACACCATGCAATATTAAAAGCATACATTTAGTTGAGTACATAACTGACAGCAACGTACCTTTGGCTGCTGTTAGCATGGTTGATGCCAGCTCACACTGCTGGGATTCGATGTGACTTAGGGTGAACCAGCGGGGATACCGGTTTGGGACAACTGATGCAATGTGGTGTGGGCGGGGCATGTCTCCCAAAGGAGCTGTAGATTCCAATACTAACAATCTGGAATAAAGAAAAAAGCCTCTTTCATTAAATCATTATTACATTAGGTTACTCATGACCAAAACTAAAGCTGCAAGAACATTTCACCTTGTTTATGAAAAGTGCCTTTTTAGTTATTAAATAAAAATAAAAATTGGAAGCCCACTTCTCTTACTGGGGAATTCTAAGAGTCCATTTGTCAAACTTGTCTACATCAGTGGGCATCTGCAGAAACTCACAGCCACCCATTATCCAAGGCACCAGAGACTTCCTGCAAGATGCAAAGAGCCGAAGCTTTTCTTCTTGCCTTGTTTCAGTCTTTAAACCATAGTCCTCAGGAAGGAAAGTGGAGTGGTTCTCCACCATAGTGAGAACACATACATATTTTCCAATATTTGAAACATACTTCCTTCACTTAGAAATGCTCAAAGGGAGTGGGATATTCAACAAGTCATTGGGATTTTGACCCTGCAATAAATTCAAACATACCAAATACTGTTCAACCATACTGTTCAACTATGACTACCTTTTAAAGTCCTTAAACTTCAGCCTACCAACATTTTATAATGTACTATAATCTGATGTTAGAGTCCCAAACTGTAGTCACAGAGGAAGTTTCCTTTAAAGTTACTTTTCAGCCCCCATTTTCTAATCCTGAAGCAGAAATTTCTTTGAGAACATGTCAATCTACAACAGTCTTATCCACCAAGGAGTATTTATACTTAGAAAATTCTAATTAATGTGTTTATTGCTGACTACTACAACACAAGTGACAGCCCACAACAAAGACTCAATTGATAGCCCTTACAATACACTATATACAACCAGTACACTAGACACTATATAAATGCCAATGCAAAAAGTAGGAGTGAACAAAGATAAACATTTTTATTCAATATAATTAAGCATAGTTTCAGGACATGAATGGTTAATGACAGATCAAATTATAGTCATAAGTCAATGTCCAGAAGAAAAGCATTTCCTGTGCTTAGCTTCCTGATCAGGGTTAACATCTGAGTTCTGTTGCTACCAGCCTTCATATGCAAATTATTTTGTAGCAGGACGTCACCTGGGAGGACAATGAAAATTGGACCGCTTTGTCAATAAAATTACAACTACTGAATATTGGAAATCCAATGCATTGTGATTTTCTGTGATAGAATACTTCCTATGGAATAAGCTTATTGAAACATGAGTTACAATTTATTGCACTTAAGTAGTTCTTTAAATAACAGCAGTGCATGTCCTCTTTCACAGTAACATAGTTTTAAGTTCCATAAGTTTCCTGTAGGTTCCTGAAGCATGTGAAAGTATCTTTAAGAATTCCCTGAGAAAGGTAACATTGAATATATGGGAGGATATCTAGCACACACATATAACACACCCTGTAAATAACTATCAGCAGGTTATGTTAACCTACATGTTTCAGACACAGGTATGTGCATGCTATTACAGAAAAAGAAATTCCTTTTTGATTTGTATCAAAAGCCAAATCTCTTCTATACTACCACTGAGACACCTCTTTAGCTTGCTTTACATATATAAAAAGCCTTCAGCTGATTTTCTCCAAGCGTAGAGAAAGGGTAGGTGGAGAGATACATTATCATATGGCTTCAATGAACAGTAAAAATCCCAACTACCTAATGCAAAAAAGGATTATTAGGTTATGAGTGATAGTAAACAAATAACATGAAAGAAAGAGGCTGCTTTAGGGAAATCTTTTGTCACTTGGAATTTCACTGCTAACTTCTAAGTTCTTTTACTGTGAAAAGAAATGCTGTTGTGAATTGGTGGCTTTCATGCAATTTTGGCAAGATTAGGGAACATCTGAACAAGTACAAGCAGATTTAGCATTCTACACTTCCCCCTCCTTCAAACAAATTATTTAGCTAGGTTTTAGCAAAGCTATCTTGTGATTAAACATCACCATTAAAGCCTAGCTCCCTAAGCCTGGGTGAAATTCAGGCTTAACAAGGGATCAGCCAAACTAAGCCGAATATTCAAGTTCAGATTCCAAGTGAGCAGTCCACTAGGTCACTGCAGATCCCCATTCTCCAAAGGTCTGCTCTGAATGTTTCAGTGCTGCAAGCAGAGAACTGTAGACAGAAGCGACTATCAAGGATGGCACAATCCTGTCCTTGCAGATCTAAGGTGTATGCATGAAAGGCTTCATGGTCTCAGCTTCCATTCATTTCATACTGAGTGTTCCACACACTAAAACAGCATTCAAAAATGAAATAGCAACAGATGATTTTGAATGCAGAGAGGTAAAGTACTCCAAAGCTGCCATCATGAGTCATTGATCCATGTAGACTTATGTGTGGACTGATACTAAACACTTGCATCTGGAGAGCAACTAGGTGGGGTCTTGGGAAGTTAACTTTTTAAATGTTGAAATGAAGAAGGAAATATGCTTCACTTCTAAAAGCATGAACAACTGCACAGATATCTATGCAGCACCTTTACTAATTTCCATGTGAATTTTTTGTCTTTGCCACAGTCTCCCTGCCATGAAAGAAAAGATGCTCAAGTTTTCCTCTTCTGATCCATTTAACCTCAAAACCACAAGACAGAGAATCTTCATGTTTGCTTTCTTCTTCCCTCTTGAAGGCAGTATTAAGTTACTTTTTCATTTGGTTTGTATTGGAAGTCCTTTATACATTGAAATATTGCTTTGGTGTGAATGCAAAGAGTAACCAACATTCTTCAGGAGAGTTTGAGAAGTGCTGAGGAACACAGACAGACATGGAATAAAAAGTGTCTCAATCTGCCATGACCACAGTTTAAGATAGCAGTCCACATTTCTGAAGAGCAGCAAATATCAAAACACAAGAAGACTGTTTATTGTCTAGGGCTGAACTCTCATCTGTGTTATAAAGTGAAGGCAAAAGGACTATGGAGAACAGCCCTGATCGCACTGATGTCTCCTGTGATTTTACCAGATGGAACCAAACAGAGAATTCTTTCTTATATTGGTCTGTTTGAAAAGTAGCTTCTTTGGCTAAGATGACAGCTCCATACCAAAAGATGGCTGGAGCTACCCATGATTAATTGTGGATTTCATAATTTTGACCTTTCAATGTCTTGCTTGTTTTTCTAGTTGAGAAAGGAAGCTTCCACAAAAGAAGCTGTCTTCAGTTATGACTGATTTCTAGGGAAAGCCCAAATCCTTGTTCAAAAGGAATGGCAAACTGCTGTCATGTTCACTGATGTGTTCAGTGCACTGAGCAGAGCTCTGATAGATGTCTATTCCAGCCTTTCAGTATGGTTTCAGTAGTTTAGTTTATAGAGGGAAACTCCACACAATCAATCTCTGAGAAACACTTTAATGTAGTAACTGAAAATATATATAAGGACACACTTACTTTATAAAGTTGACTTTTAAAAAGACCAAACCCCAAAAAAACCTAAAAACCACAAAAAAAATAATCAACCAAACAAAAACCTCACCCACCACATTTTGTACTATCTTGCTGATCCCATATGACCAGGGTTATTGGTGCACTTGTGATAAGAAAGGTGTATTTCGATGACCCAGACAGCTTTCTGATCATACAACTGAGTGTTCTCAATAGTTCATCAGTAAAGAACCTCCATCTCCTCAATCTGTTTCTTAAAATGCTAGTCATAAGCAGCAAGAATGCAAGGTCACTCTTTGTTTTTCTTAACACTTTCCTTAACACCCATTACTAGACACTCTTGGAAGCAAAATAAAACCCAAATGGGCTAAGCAGACCTTTGGTCTGACCTGACAGCAACTGTATTTTGTTCTTATGCACACTCTCCCATTTAGTCCTTTGAACACCAAACTATTTTCTCATCATTTAGCTTTTTGGAGAAAATAGCTCCAGAATATACACCTTGAGACCACTAGCATACAACCTGTCTTATGGAGCTAAATACTACTTATGTGGATAGTGTGTTCTGCAATCACTGTGCAATCATTCTTGATAATAATGACTAGGAAAACCCAATAATTTATTTTTTTTTTAAATTTGAGACTTGATTGCTTTTAGTGTTCAGTTGTGGCTGTTCTTTGTTAACCATCAACTACAAGATTCTTGACAGCAGTCAGGCAATCCAGATGGGACCAGTTCCTTCGTTCCATTGTATGTGGAGAACAGATTTATAGCCGATTTAGACTCCTGAAACTTCCTTCAGAAGGCTTTTCTTTGCCACCATTACCAATCTGGCCTGCCTTGATATAAACTCTCCAAGAACCACCTTTTTACTGATTACTCAAGCCAAATGGGATGCAACTCAGACATTTTACTGTCATATGACACACTCCATTTAAATCCCAACATTCACCAGAAGTGGAAAAGATTGCTTTGTTATGAAGCACAAGAAAAAAGTACTAGCCATATGGTTTCAAATCTACCATTGAGAGTTACTTTATAAAGAAGGCCAGTGGAACAAATAGTCCTACCAAACAGGCTAAGCAGCAGATGATCCTGAGACAGCTGGTGAGATGCCACTTTCCTCATTTCCTCACCACTACCATCACACACACACAACCCCTAAAGCTATCATTGTTTAAGACAAATCCATGTGCCTCAAGAGTGAGATTCTGGAAGAATCTGTAACCGAGAATGCTGGTTTACAGTTGCAGATCAACACTAATTGTACCTTTCTAAATTATAATACTGTAGTTAACACACACACCAAATGCTTTAATAAGACAGAACGAAAATAATTTCTCCTTAAAGTGAAGAATGCTTCTTTTAGAAAAAAAGAAGACTAGGTCTTGATTATCAAACATTTTTCCCTTTTCCCCAACCACTACTTGTGCTTTTTCTAGATGACTCATGAATACGTACCGCATGGCTCTCAGTGCAGTTTTGTATGCCAATTCAGCATCATGAGGTAGGAGAGAGGTGAAGAGATACTTGGCAAATGTGTGCATTGGAACGCTCTCTCGATGGATGACTTCGCCTAAACCACTATATGGTCCAGCTGTGGGAAAGAGAATGTCAGTCTTTACATTCTGCTAAAACCCAACTTCTGGACCTTTTAAAACATTCACTATACCTTCAGTTAGAATTGGTATTCAGAGATAAGAGTTTGCTGTACAAAAGGTAAAGTTATATTGCTACTTTCTGTGCAATATATTACACATCTTATATACAATATATTTCAAGTATATTAAATACCATATATTCTTTGAGACAAGACAGACTGCAAATTGTATAGTACTAAGCACACTAGCAGTGTACACACAAACAACTGAATGGTTCCAGTGCTCTATGGGGCTCATTCAGCAAGCATATTGTATGCAAAATTAGAAAGTGGTAATCCTAGCTTTGGCACCACGTAGTTACATTGTGCACATGAATCCCTACACACTCTGTTGGTGTGTGACTGCTTTATCACAAATCCACTAGGGGAGGGGAAAAAAAAGGGCAATTACAGTGGAAAAATGTGTATCTTCAATTGAAGTTACATGACCAATTACCACAGCAGCACCTGATCCCTATTAACGTGATCACCTGACATTAGGCATTTAAATGACTTTTCGGTCTGAACTTGGTCTTCAGAGAAGACTACGCCAGATCTTGCATCAAAGCTGATTTTCTTAGTCCATTATAACCATATAATCTTAAAAACTGTACTTGTTGTGTGGAAACTATCCCTGTTGTTGGGGCAATGGATTTTGTTCATGTTCAGTCCAACCAGTGCAGTATTTCAACTTCATAACAGCAGAGGCAGAACTGACAGCAACAACTAAGTTAAATGCAAACATTTCCTTGCTGAGTTGTGAATGGTCATGGTGCTTATGAATCTTATTTTTACATTTTTCCTGCAACCTTGAGACTGTTATTCCTGTTATCAGGAAAACTGTGTCATGTCTGATTTCAGCGACTAGATGTTCAGGCAATAAATGTTGCAAGATACATGATAAGACTCTTACATTAAGTATTATTGGGCTATTACTGCACAGCCAGCAGTCCTAAAGTTACTACTAGTTCTAGTAGAGATTCCAATGCACCACACTTGGATGGACGTGTGAACACACCACTGCACAGTCACACATGTAATTTAAACAGCTTACAGCAGCAGTTCAAACTAACATGGATGCACTGAAGCAGATGAAGAAAAACAGTCACGCTGTTTCAGCAATGTTTTTCTGACTGGCGCCTTAGCACAACATGCAAAGTTAAAGATCATTAGGCATGAAAATAATCTGAGCTCAATAGGTGGGCATTTCTGAAAACTGGGGCTGAATACAAAGGAAATGTCAGTGAACATTTAGTAGGTGACAGTGTGTCTCAATCATTTAAAAATATGTTGGAAGCCATTCAAAACTATCTAGTATTGCCTCAATGAAAGAAATCAGTTTGCCAGTCAGTGGTCCAGTCAGAAACTCAGTTAGGAAATGAAGAATACACACCAAAGCATTTATATGAAAATATATTCTGCCATTAACTTCACAGTCAAGCAAAAAACTAGAACAGTTCTTGCAAAACAGTCTTATGTTCTGGTTATCCATGCACTCAAATAGTAGCTACATATAGCATACATTAGTCTGCATTAACAGCACAAAAATCAGCTTAATATCGGATTAAGCTTTCTTCATTATATCTACAGGATTTTAGCTATAAAAACGCAACTGATATGATTAGCATCTTAAATCACTGCACTGGCAATTTCTGCCTAACCTGGAGTAAACTGAAGCTATTGCAGGAAAGCCAGATTTTTCAGTACACAGTAATGCAAGGCCATTGTTGCACACTGCTCACCACAGCAGTTTTGGTAGGCAGTTATATTAACAGATTTCCTGCTATGATCATTTGTTTACTACTCTAAGAAAACATTAAAAGAATTTCAGTGATCAAAGCAGTAAATTAGAATTATCAGAGAACACCAGAGAAATCCTGCCTTTTCCTCACAGTGTCCTTACCAATAAAAAGATGCAGCAAATAGATTTTAAAATCCACAGGTTCCCTAAATGGTGGTTAACAGCTGGATTCAGTGAGTAGCTGCTCTTGTCTAAAGGCCATAAAGCAGCAGTTACGGCCACACCATAACGGAAACTCTCCCCATGGTGCAGCTTCTCTGCAATTTCAAATGGCACCATCAGTAGGTACCAAAGTCTTTAAGGATCTGGACAAAAACAGTGACTCAAAGCCGAGAACCCCAAACAACATGCTGCATCTTTTCCATTAAAAAGGGAGTTTTAAAAGACAAATGTCTTACAGAAAGAAAGCAAAGCCTAACTGCTGTAGTAACAGTCTTCACAACTTACCTATAGCAGTACCAGACTCCCTCTACCCCTTGGGCAAGCACTCTAAACTTGGGACCATGCCTTTGGCTAACTGGTTCCTCTAAAGTTTATTGTTCCATTTAAAAAACCAAAACCCAGAAAGACAACCTCAGAATGCATGACACTACTGTCTGAACATGAGGCTTAAGTGCTACATGTTAAGCTTTTTTAATCACTAAGGCCAAAGTATGCCCTTTTTTGTATAGATTTTATTGCAACACACCAGCTAATTCTCAAACACAAATTCTTTGCCTTGGTCAAAATTCAGACACAAGATCAGCCCTTAAGCCTCAGTATCTGACCACATCTATCCATTTCCATGTAGGATACAAACTTCAGAGGCAAGTAATTTTTCTATATGATGCAAATAAAATGTTACATTTCTGTCCTAGCAATTCTAAGTGGATTTTCTGAGCTCTTCACTTGGAAACAGAGGTAAAAATCTTCATACATTTACAAAGCTGCCAGTCCCTTTTTCAGGATACAAGGAACACTTAGAATTTTGCTACCTGAGAACTGATGATGATAACTGATGTCTGTATTATTTAAGTGTGAGCCTGGAATGTATAATCAGGCTATTAAGACAATAAACAAATCTAAATAACAAAATGCAATCAAAATCAATAGTAAAACAAAAAGCTCATAGGTCAATAGATGCCTTATCTCTACAGTCATGTGATATCTGAATTATACTTGTTTTCCGTAAGAGATTGGAAACAAAATTTTGCTGCAGCTGTGTGTCAAAAAAAATCTAAAGTACGTAAGGGAGTTTCCACAGAAATACTAGTTCTGCGTGCTTGTGTAAACGAAGACAGTTAAAAGAAGCAGTTAACATCTATATTGAGCTACCTTCTAATAGGAAGACTGCTTGTTTTCGAAAAATCTTCACCAGAGTATCATCCAATTCAATTTCCTGTAGCTTAGAAATGAGCTGCTCCTCATTTCGACAAACCTTCTCTTGTGCGTACAAGCCATCTGGCATTATTCGTTGCTGTCCCAGCCCTATCAATGCTACTTCCACAGCCAGTGTTAAATAAGATTCCCCTTCTTCTAAGAACTTGTGTGCAGGCAGGTGCTGGTACTCCACAGATCTGCATTGCCCCATATTCTCTGTAAGGGAAAGAAAAACACATCAGCAAATCCTTCTCACCCATAACCTGCCTATAATGCCACATAGACAAATGTTTCCTTCATTAGTATTAATTTTTCAAAATTATTTACATTACTAGCACAATCTCAAAATCTAAAGATCCAATCTAAAATATCACATTCAATTCCACATGGCAGAAATACACAAAACAATTAGGTTTTAAATAACCTACTCAAGTAAGAAGAAAAGTTTTCATTTTTAAACTGCATGATTCAGAGAAAGGCAGTTTCTCCAGCTTTGAGTAATAAGGCCAAAATTGGAAGACACATTTCATTTTTTCTCCCCCTCATCCATTTCTGTATCTCCTTAAAGCTCTAATGTGTAGGAGGAAGTTTTAAAAAAGTGCTTATACATCTGCATAGATCTCAGTTGAAAATCTATGATGATTGTGCAAATACACTAGAGGCCTGGGAACTCCACCATTTTAAAGCATCCTCTGTTTGCTAGTGCTCTTTTCCGGCTTTTCTATTTGCTACAGATACATTAATGATAAAAAGGTATTATTAACACTAGAAGTCTTACTTTCAGTAGAGATTACATGTAAATTCCATACAGATCAAGCCATAAACTGCTTTAAAGAGTACTACTGATTCATTTGGCAATTTGCAGATACACCATATGAAAAAATGCTATTCCAATCTGTATCAGTTTACAGTCTAATTTGGGAACAAATGGTTATAAAGGACAGATGTAAGAAGATGGACATCTGCAGTGAATGGGAAGGCTGAATGTATTTGATAGATTGCATATGCGTGTGTAGGAAGAAGCTATTTTTCAACACAGTTTTTATTTCATGCAGTTGTTTTGGTTGGGGTTTTTTTAATAAATGCAAAGAATCTGATTTCCAATTTATTTTAATTAAGAGTTTTCCCAGAATTTGTGGATATAGGATTATAAATTTATTTAAGAAAATCTAATTAAATAAAAGGAGTTTTGAAGCAAAGTCTCAAGAAGATAAAGGATATGCATATAGAAGAGCTGCAGGCAGAGGGATGAATCCAGTTTCGGTCCATACAGGTGGTAGTAAAACGCTACCACAGTGGTGGAAAGAGACAAACAATAAGGAGTTAACTAGTTAAGCTCCTGGGAAGCAAATACTGAGATTAAAATGGGCATACACATCCTATCCTAAATCATGTATTAATACTGCAACACTGCTTTCCAATTCATATCATTTCTAGACCATGTATGTTATCAATTTTAAGTGTTTTGTCATCAATTTGAAGTATCATGTACACTTGTAGCTAAAGTAGACCTCTGGGCTCCTAATAGAAGTGTGATCCTTTCCCTCTGTTCAGCACTGTTAAGCCCACATCTGGAGTGCTGTGCCCAGCTGTTGGGTCCCCAATACCTGGACACGCTGGCACAGATCCAGCGTGGAGCCACAAACATGAAAAAAGGACTGCAGCATCTGAATGACAGTGAGAAGGGTGGGATTATTTAGCCTGGAAAAGAGAAGGCTTAGGAGGATCTTACCAAAATGCATAAATATCTGATGGGAGAATGTAAAGAAGACAGTGTCAGATTCTTCTCAGTGGTATCCTGTGACAGGACAGGAGGCAATGGGCACAAACTGAAATACAGGAAATTCCATCGAAGCATAAGAAAACACTTTTACTGTGATGGTGGTTGAACACTGCAAGAGGTTGCCCAGAGAGGCTGTACACTGTTCATTCTTGGAGGTACTCAAAACCCAACTAGACACAGTCCTGGGCAACTTGCTCTAGGTGATCCTGCTCTGAGTAGAGCAGATAGACGATCTCTAGAGGTGCCTTCCAACCTCAATAATTCTGTGGTCCTGTGATTTCCTGCAATTTCTCAGAAAGAGGGTAGAGCAATGTATTTGGAGAGGGATGCTGTGCATTGGTTTTATTTCAAGTGTGAATTAAGGAATTTTGTCTTCAAAAATTAGTAACTGGTAATTTTTAAAGTGCTTTAATATTTTACTTTAATTATTTTCCCTCTCCTGTGTTTTCTTAGGGAATGCAAATATAAGTTCTTATACTACAAAACACTGTGTTTGAAGCTGATTCAGAAAGGCAAGGTAGAAAAATGCCTCTGGTAAATGAAGACGTATAGAAGATGGCGCCATTGTCTTGGCCTTACCTGTGAAGTCAGAGAATCCGTGAAAGCCCTCATCATCCACCCTGCAGGCTTCCATCAGGCTACTGTAGAGAGTGCCAATGGGGTCCAAAGGGTGTCCCACCCAACCTTCAAGATTCATTATTGAGGTTACTCCTCTGTGGAGAAGTTCTGTGACAGAAAAGGAGGGATAAGAGAGGGAAGGAAAGCACATGTTAGTCCCTCAAAACAATTACAAAAGTAAAACTGATTAAAATGCTCTCAGTATAGAATCTGAAGTATTCCAATAGCTTCTGCTTAGAAGGAGAATATAGCATCTTTCAGGGTGAACTCATTGCCCTTTGTCAATAGTTAAAAGAGGAAAAAAAGAAAAATAATGAAGAGCAAACATTTTGAGCACTAGCAAAGTATATTACAGGTCAAAAGTTCAAACTGCAGTGTCTTTTGAAATCTCTTACTTGACACCTGTAACTCTTCTGAAAATGTCTGCTGAAAAATTGCAGCAAAGACTTTTTTTGGTAAAATATTTGTAACAGTTTCCTCACTCAAAAAGACACAGTACCATTTTAAGTTAATCTGATAGCACTGAAATAAATGAAAATATTATAAAATACATTCCCATTTCATAAATAAAATATGAGCTTATCCTGCATCTAAGTATTTATTGCAGTAATAAACTCAGGATGACAGCTCCTTTAAAAAAAAAAGAATACTTAAATGAGATATACAAGGAAAAACAATGTCCTTTGTAGATAAACTGCATTTTTTTGTAATTCTAACGTTTCCATCAACAAATATCTCCACAGATACTTTTAGCACTCACTCATCATTTGTTTAGAACATGAAAAAACTGTTTAGCTTGGTAAACGGAAGGAAGTGTGCATCACTGTGTTAAAAGATGTCAGAGACTCCCCAGACCTCTTCTTTTACTAAGGGTCTTGTAGCAACAGCTCCCCTTTGACTCCAGCTCCCAACTTTTTTCATCTTAGACATATATATACAACTGAAGATGAAAGACCAGATGCATTACGGGTGACTATTGAAAAACTGTATACAAACCATTATGAATGCTCTGTTTCTCTGCCTGTTACACACTAACTTGTACCTGCCTTCACTCTCGTTTGTTTACGAAGTGCCATCTTTCTGAGTAACCATATTAATTAACACAGAGCTTTTAAATCCCAGTTCTTGCCTATTTAAATGTGTGGAGATACTAAGTGAAACACAAGAGGGTGGGTTTTTTTTGTTTTTAAAAGAATCCACTGATATATAATAGGAAAAATAAACAAGTAAATCATTGTCTTACTAACAAATAGCATTTACTAAAGATGACAGGCAGAAGTAGTATTACCAAAAAAGATTAATCACAGTGACTTCTTACTGACTCATTTATGTTCTGTTTATTCTATTGTGCCTCCTTATGAGCTTCACTCATATGCCAAACAATGGCTTCAGTCCTCCAGTCACACAGACATTTAACTTTAAATCACAGAAGTGATTCCATGGACATCAGATCAGTAACATGAATTAAAAAAAGCTAAGTAGAAATATGTGGTGTTTGCTGAACTAAAACCTAAGGCTGGCCTGTAGCTGCAGAATTCATCTGCTTATAGAGGAGACCAGTGAGTTTTGTGGTATTAAAAGAGCGCTCGTTAAAAATTTCACACATAAGAAAAAAAATTAAAGCAGCAAGTGAGAACACAGAAATTACAAACTTCCTTGTTTTGGGGTAGGATGGATTGCGTACCATACACTCCGTATTTTATTTATAATAAATAAGGATACTACTAGTTGACAGCTACAGAAACTGATCATAGGAAAAGGAACATAGCAAATATTGAATGTATAGATACTGCATTAGTAACTGGGAATGAAAAGGAGCAGTACTATGACCAGCGCACTTGCAGCAGACCCTTCACACCTGGCACTGGTACACACACACAGACACTCATGCTGACATAGGACGCTCCCTTCTTACCTACCCAGTCTGAGAAGCAAGAAAACCTGCAAAGCTTTTAAGAGTACACTTGTTAAGGGAAGATACATTACATGATAAGAAGACTCTGCAAATTATCCTAAGTAATAATACCAAGTGCTCTATGTTTTGCTCAAATTGAGGGCCCACAATAGTTCTCAAAAAAAGCCTTCTTCCTTGGGTACCATTAAAAAAAGGAAATAGAGGCACATAGGAACCGCTATCTGATTTTTTTTTTAGTCAGGTATCTACCCTGTCTTCTAAACGCTCATTTCTGGGAAAACATCTCCATACACACTTGAGAAATTTACACATATGACTTCACACTGGTATTTTTGCCTACAATGCATGAGATTAGTTAAGAACAGCAACAAAGATCTAAACCAAAATTTTAATTAAGAGATTCTTGTAGCAGCTGAGAGAGTAATTCTAGTTTTTCTACGTGCATTCTTTAACTACAAAGCCGTTCCCTTCTTCCACTGCCTCTTCAAACTAACAGTAAGTTCAGTGTGGCATTATTTTGGGTAGCAAGGATCACGTGGCAGAGAAATTGTATCTGAAGGAGAACGTTCCTTCAAAAAATAAGAGCATAATGCTTATCAGAAGAATATCATAAAACTTTTCAAAAAATGAGTTTTTCAAAAACAAACAACAACAAAAAGCATTCAACCTCTATTCAGAAACACTAAAATTATAAGAGATTCCTTTGGAACAAACTGCCATATTAAATGAATTTCTGTTGTGTAGACTTTGCCTCCTTGTTATCCTCAAAGTCAACTTTAGGCTTCCACCTCAGAAACATACAGTTCAGCTAAACTATATGTCAGAGAAAAAAAATTATATTAAACCTCTGACTAGACAAATGCAAAGATCTGTTTTAAAGCCTGTAAGTTACACAGGGTGAATGTTTTCACTGTGTAACCATAAACCCTGATTGGGATAAAGACCCCACCATGCTAGACATATTGCGGAACGCCTAACAGTGCCCTTGCCCTGCACAGCTCACAACCCAGCTTACAGAAAACCTCTGACATCCAGAATGTGACATTAACTCTTTGGTTCAAGCAATCATAGTGGTAAAATCACCTCTTTTGTTTCAGTTTCAAAAGTGGTGTTACTGCAACCTCAGCACGTCCTTTGCCCTTCTCTCTTCCCCACATTTACCTTTCTTCTGAGCCCGGAACATTTCCAGCTGTTTCTGCTGCTGCCTTCTTAGTGTATTAACAATAGCTATTGCTAGCCTCAGTGCTTCTCGTGGATATCCATGAGATCGTAATGCGTCCACCCTCGCACAGGCTGTAGGAACATGTTCTAAAATAGAGAAAATAATTGAGGAATAGCAGTGCTTCCATGTCTGCAATGGCCTGTTTTGGTAGGTTACTCAAAAAGGCTTTTTGTTTTGTTTTGTTTTGTTTTTAAAACCATGCAAGAGAGACTTCAAGGACTACTTCTAAGTCAGCATTTCAAGGGAGCCTCTGTTCTTTTTGCCAGGCTTTTCATTCATTTCCCCACCATCCCCCTCAAAATAATGCCATAGAAAATCAACAAAGCAGCAAGTCATGGAAACATCTTTCCGGTTTAGTCACTTACCATGCCAGAGGGGCCACCCGTGAGAGTCAAAGAGCGAGTTTTCAGTGTTGTCATGGTAACAGTAGTTGGTGTACAGGTCACTGCTGATAATGTGCTGCAAGTGTCTGTCCTGCCAGTGCAGATCGCACGCCTCGATGGCTCGAGTGAACACTGTCCGATGTGGCCTGTTCGATGAATCTGTCATTTTCACAAGTTCAGAAAGCTGCATCAGCTTTTACTCATTCATATGTGAATCAGTCCTTCACAGTATTCTTGCCTTCTGCCTATTCACCAAGGCCCCATGGATGGCAGCCTGCCCTGCCCTCCTCTGCACTGAGCAGCCTGCAGATGACATTTCGCATCCTGTGATTACCCAACAGCTCAGCTGAAGTGTGTGCCATTCACTTCGCATTGAGAGAGAGATATCTACAAACCAGGATGGCTGATGCTGAACAGGACTTCGCAGAGGGAACAGCAAGAGATGAAGGACATTCAACAGCACACACAGAACTCCTCTAAAAGCAATCTAGAAAATATATGGCACACAGCTATGCAGCCATCCCCAGCTTCTCTCCTCCTCAGAGCTGCCAGGATGAGGGGGCAGATAAACAGCGCATGAAAGATTTTTTAGTTTTTCTCTTTAAGAAGTGACATTAACTTTGAGTACTTGCATAATTTTTTGTCATAAACATTTATAAATACTATGGAGAAAGTGAGGTACTGAGGCCAAGGGATTGACATAATTCTTACTGGACATCTTCGTATGGCAAAAACGCTCTGCTGACATGACACTATGTTTGAATGTTGAGATGTTGTGCCAGTTACCACTAGCCTGCCCAGGCTGGGCTGAACATTACAAGATACAGAAAGCAAAACACCTCTGTAGGGAGCGATATGCTGAATAAACTTCTGTTCCCAGCTAGCCGAGAGATAAAAATGAAACACATCTATTTTCTTCAGAGGTAATCTTCCAAGAAAAAGAAACAAGGAAAAACCCATCTAAGTGCAAATCTACCAACTCCCAGGCACTCAATTTTAACTTCATCATAATTATATGAAATATGTATCAAAATACTGAGGGTTTTGAGGATTATGAGGGTTTTCCCCCTGGTCAATATCCTACATCCTACAATATTCCCCAGTTGTTAGCAAAGTAGTCAACTTTACTTGAAGAGGACTGGACAAGACTTCTGTCAGATTTGATAATCACATTTTAGATTAGGAAGCATGACATCAAGTAAGAAGAGACACCTCCTCCAAGACAGCAGTACTGCCTCTGCACCCCCACACACCTGGCAATGCAGACTGCACATACAGAGCACATCCCACAGATAGCTGCTTTAGTTTCTCACACACTCAAGTTTAATGCAGTTGCAACAGATCTCTCTTTAAATAGGTTTCAAAGGCTTTGTAACTGCAAACAATATAAAAAACCCAACACTAGAAGGAATACAAGATTGTAGTCAAAGACACAACAGGCTTTTACATACTTCAAGGACATCCAATTTTCATGCAACATGTATTTAGAAAGACCAAGTGAAAAGTTAGAAGACCTAATTAAACACAAATACTTGCTTTGAAAACATTGCAGCCCCAGCACAAAAAACCCCACCTATTTATCCTTTCTGCAAGGATTGTATTAGTGAAAATTTTGACTGGTCAATTCTTAACAAGGAAGTTACTTG